TTCCCAATTTGTTGAGAAATTTTATCATGAATAGATGTTGAATTTTCTCTGATGCCTTTTTGTGCATCTATTGCAATGATTATGTTATTTTTATCTTTCATTCTATTGATGTGATTCATTAGATTATTGATTTGCATATGATGAACCATTCTTACATCCCAGGAATGAATCCCCTTGATCATGGTGTATGATCCTTTTAATGTGCTAGTCCCTTGAGGTGTAAAGTTGGGTTGTTTATTTGAGACTATTCTTTCTTCTTGACGTATGATGTTATCATTATAAATTTTCCTCTTAGAACTGCTTTGGCCATAACCTGTAAGCTTTGGTATGTTGTGTTTCCATTTTCATTTGTCTTAAAATAGTTTTTTATTTCATTTTAAATTCTTTTTGATCCATTGGTTTTTCAGTAATGTAATGTTTAATTTCCATGTATTTGTGAATTTTACAGGTTTGCTTGTTATAGATTTCTAGTTTCATATCATTGTGATTGCAAGTTACATAACTTCTTTCTTTTTGAATTTGTTGAGACTTGTTTTATGACCTAACATATGATCTAACCTAGAAAATGTTCCATGTGCACTTGAGAAGAATTTGTATTCTGCGGCTGTTATATAGAATGTTCTGTATATGTCTTTTAGGTCCATTTGGCTCAGCATGGAGCCCAACAAGAGACTCAATCTCATGACCCTGAGATCATGACCTGTGCCAAGATCAAGAGTCGGACGCTTAACTGACTGAGCCACCCAGGCACCCCAATGCATTGTTTTTCTTATGTTATTTTGTCTGTGTGTTCTTGTAGGTCACTACACTTTTTCAAAAGGATTATTCTGAATTCTTTCTCAGGTCAGGTGAGAATTCATAGTTCTGTTTCTTTAGGGTGAGTTATTGAAGTGTTACTAGTTTCTTCTTGTGGTAGTACATACATATAATTCTCTGTGATTCTTAATTCATTGCATTGGTATCTGCACAGTTGGATAAGCTATCTCCTCTTCCAGACTTTACAGGTTCACTTGCCAGGGAAAGACCTTCACCAGTCAGCTTAGTTTGGGGTACTGGATGGGTCAGCTGGTATGATAGCATCAGTTGGAGAATGTCATCAAAAATATGTGACCTGGGGCGCCTGGGTGGCTCATTCATTAAGTGTCTGCCTTTAGCTCAGGTCCTGATCCCAGGATCCTGGGATCGAGCCCTGCATCAGGCCTCCTGCTCTGTGAGAAGTCTGTTTCTCCCTCTCCCACTCCCCCTGCTGTGTTCCCTCTCTCACTGTGTCTCTCACTCTCAAATAAATAAATAAAATCTTAAAAAAAAAATGTGACAACCAATAGATCCATGAGCTGGACCCAGGCATTTGGAGGCACCTCACCTCCTCCCCCGTCCTTGGAATGTGGGTTTTACTTATCTTTCCCACTCTCAGAGGCCACTCCAAGGACCTAGTCTTGAGATTATGATGTGATGTTGAGAACACTCACATGATATATGTGACTGAACCCAGTTAGGGCTTCTTTGCAAACTTTTGAGATTTGGCTGGCAGGTGTAGGGATCATTTCTTACTGACACCCAAGGCAAGCCCCATGTATTAGTTCCCTTTGCTTATTAAAACTCCCACCAACTAACCTTGAGTGGCCTGCCTTTTTCTTCAGTCTCTCCCTGCCCTCTGTGTATGGGGGTTGGTTTAAAATTATACCTGGGAAGCTCCTGGGAGGATTACAAACAACAGCATCCATAAGCAGATGGGCTTTGCTATCAGGTCTCTTGTTGGGTGACGTCACTGCCCATGCTCTGAAGCCAGGGGGATGACACTGGCTGGGCTCCACATTTGGGTGGGCCTACTGGCTGGGTTCCACATATAAGTAATTCCACTGGACAGGCTTCCTGGCCAGATGGGGCTTCTGGCTTTGTTCTGCAGCCATATGGGGCCACTAGCTGGGCTCTGCAATTACCTCTGTTTAGGTGAACTCACAGGTTGTGCTGCTTGACAGGGTGGTGCCATGGGGTTAGACTCTGCAATTGGGAAGGACTGCAGATAGATTCCACAATCATTCCTGGTCAGGTGAGTTCTGTTTATCCAGTCATGCTCTCCAACCAGATGGTGCCACTGGCTGGACTCTGTTTGAGAATGGCCACAGGCAGGTCTTCATGGTGACAGAACCTCTAGCTGTGCTCCACTGTTGAGCAAGGTTGCTGGCTGGGCTTCCTCCCTGTTCAAGGCTATAAGCTGTGTTCAACAATCAGGCAGGGCCATACGCTGGGTTCTGCTACAGGACAGGGCTGAAGGCATGGCTCTGCAGCTAGGCAGTACCAAAGGCTGTGATATAAGAATACCCAGGGTCACTGTTCACACTCCCTGGTTATATGAGGCCAAAGGCTATATTAAATTTAAAAATTTATATTTGACAATTGGGCAAGGTTGCCGGCTTGACTCCATGCCCAAGCAGGGCTGTAGGATGGGCTCCACTGCTGTCCAGGTTTTCTGTCCAGGTGTCCTCTATGGGACTAAAGGATACACTTAGTGGTTGGGTGGACATGTGAATTTGCTCTCTGGGCCTGTGAATGTGCTTTCCTACTCAGGCAAAGCCATAGAAGGGGTTCTACAGCACATATGGCTCATTGACTGGAGACCCAAATTAGGCAAAACTGCCAACCAAGTTCCTTGGCCAGGCACAGCCACCAGCTCAGTTTTGCACATGGGCAAAACGAATGGCTAAGATTTCTGGTCAGGCACCATTGCAAACAGGAATGCTGTCTGCCTAGATCTGAGCACTAGTTGTAAGTCCTGCTCCCCTTCTGTCTCTATCTGTTGTCTGGTGGTCAAGACCTGAAGATTTCCCCAGTGATCCCTGTGAAGTGAGACCCAAGTTGGCCTCTTAGGAAGTGTCCCCACAACACTAGGGAAGCTCTCTTCTTCCCAGTGGAGAAACCATAAGCCGAGGGGGTACTTCTAAGTGCAGTGCTTTACCATCCTGGCGGAAGGGCAATGCAATCATGGTGTCTTCTTACCTTTTCTTCTTACCCTTTTAATACAGTCCTTGGTCTCTATGATCCCGGTTGAGGCTTCAGCCTCAGCCCCAAGTCCTGGGATTTTCAAAATGGTGTCTTGTCTATGGATAGTTGTTAGTTGGTCCTCTTGTGAGGGGGACTGAAGTCAGGAACGACCTGTCACCATCCTGATGACATCATTCCTCCAGATTTGCAATGAATTGATTCAGGACCCTAGATCTCAATGCTCATAATGGGCTTATTAGAAAAAATCTTCCCCTATTTGGACAGGCAAGTGAATCTAGTGACTAGAAGAGTATCCCCATATTATATATTTAAAAATACAGGGTAAAACTACTCTAGATGGGCAAATGTTTTTCTCATATTGTATCTGTATGAGTATTCACTTAGCAGCTACAAGTCTTTCATCTCTTGCCATGTATTTTTCATCTGCTCCCACTCAGTTTAGTACTTATACTGGCCAGAGTGGAATCAGTACGTTAATGTAAAGAATGGTTACCAGATGAAACTGAACAATGGAATTTATTGTCTACCCCAGCTCACCTGACAATATTCATGCTTTCCTTTAGACTTTTTGAAATGGGCCTAATCTTGTGCTGGATTGGTGCACAAATGCAGAAGTTGCTGAATCTATCACGGATTTACAACAGCTTTCTCAAATTTGCAAGTGGCAATACTGAAAAGAGAGCAAATGTGTTGGGTGACAGAATCAGGATCCAAAGAGATCTGATAATGAGCAAATTTAAGCACATCATCAACCAGTATGATTCCCCATACATGTAACTTAGGTCCAAAGGATCTGAGAACTGTTGTGAGGAAAAGACAGAGGCACAGGAACAGGCACACAACAGCTGACTTCAAATACTGGGGCAGGTGTTAACTATGCTGTGTGAGTCTCCAGTATGCAGTCCTAGGACTATTGGATAGAAGTTACAGGAAGGCAGATTTGGGCACAGTACAATCAGCAGGTCACTGCAAGGGGCTAAGTCTACTGGACAGTTGTTTCAGGCAAGAGGTAAGGCATTGGTGATCAACATGGTTACTTCCAAGTCTCAAATCCTCCGGCTACACTAAGCCCTGTGGTTGTGTTACCTCACTGACATTTGATCAGAGTTGTTCCACCTATTCTTTTGCTTATGGAAGTTTATGCTCTAGCAAAGAAAACAGTTCCACTTCCTGTGGTTATTTAAATATGCAATCCATCAGAAAGGGGTGGTAATGTAATACTTGAGGTTTCAAATAAGTATGAACAGCATAATATTTTTTGTAGGAAAAGATATAGGTATTAATAGACTACAGCCTGGATGGTTATACACCCAAATGCTAACAATTCTTATTGATGGGATGATAGGGATTGATTTTTACAATTTGAAAGTTCATAAAAGTATTGCTTAAGGACAGGGAATGGAACACTCTCATTTATATGTATTCCTTGTGCTCACCATGAACACCAAAAGTAATTGGTTCCTAAGACAGTGAATTCTATTCCAGACAAGAATGAGACCAGAGATTCAGTGTTGCAAGTCATTAGCAGGTATTAGATATCTGAATTTATGTTCAATAGATGTGATGTGCTTAGCACAATGTGTGCTAGCACGTGCCTCCTTCCCCTTTCTCCCATCCAACCCCAGTGTCAGGTGTCTCCTCCTATTAAGTGGAAAAGCACATACCAGAAAGCAAGAGAGCCCAGTTTAAATATCCCAGCCCTTATTTGCCTTAGATCACTTCAGACCCTGTATTTTCATTTTCTCACTTCCAAGATAAGGAGGCTAGTCCATGTTACCTCCTCTCCCAAGGTTCTCATGGGAGAGCCATGATTCCAACTCTATGGAAAAGCACCTAGCATTCCCAAGTCAGAATCCATTGGATCTGGACAAAGGAGAGCCTTTTCCCTGTGACTAATCTCCTAAAGTGGCTTTCCTTAAACCATTTTGTTTGGCTAAAAAGAGTACCTTTGTTGTACTTTCATTCCTTAGAAGACCACCAAGAATGGACCACCAGAGTCTCAACACAATGACTGTATTTATTATTTTATCACTACATTAGAAATGAAAATAAACTGAGAAGTTGCAAATGCATGCCACTTCATGAATATTGTGGAACAACAGATACATCCACTGTAGAAAGTTAAAAGTGGCTTAACTTTTGGGGATGCAAAGACTACACAAACAAAGGTCATCAGTGGTAATATTATTAACAGCACCTGCCAGATGGAATGTATGTATCAATGGAAAATTTTAAAAAGGGACCACTGGCTGGGAATACAGGTGGGAAGAAATCAGAAGATGCCTAAAATCTCTACAAACACATAGGTTTATAAAAAACAAACCCCAAACTAAGACACTTAAGCAATGTTGAAATTTGCTGTTGGGAGGAGATCCCCATTTTACGATGTTTGAGCACACTCTTTCTCTTGTTGGATAGCTGGGGGGAAAAACAAACACAAAAAAATCATTAAGGAGGTATATTCCTAGGATTAAGTTCAGTTTTCTTCCAAGAGTTCTTTGCCAAGTTATTGAAGCCTGTCATATCGGCTTTAAATTTAGAAGGCTAAGGCACTAACCACAAATCCCCAGTCAAGTGTTGTGTGTGTGTGTGTGTGTGTGTGTGTGTTGCATGTGCATGCATGTTAACCACCTGAACATTTATGAGAACCTACGTCAACTGCGTGTTGTTTTTTTATTTGAGAAGCAGATTCATGCTGTTGCCGTTTTTTCCATAGGTTATTCTGAGACTGAAGAGGAAGTGAAGCATTTTCCTCAGATTTATCTATCACTATATAATTAGGAAGTTATACCCTTTCAGATAATTCTGACTAACTGTGGAACTCAAATAACACTGACATGATAAAAAGTGCCCCTCAGGTTTGTGAATATGCTTGGAGTTTTTCTATCAGGCTATAACTCCCAAGGGCAAATCTGATCCTTTGGAGCCTGGGAACCTTAGGTGCCCCAAGATCTAAACTTTTTCTCTGCTTTATCTTGTCATCAGGTAGAGAAAGGCAACACTGCAGCTTGTGTGGTTCTTTAGGAATGAAATCATGGACCCAAATTGCTAGATGCAGAAAATGCCTAGTAACCATAAAGTGGACAAAACTAAGATATTTCTAGTGCTAAGTCTAATATTCCAAGATTGGTTATAATGAGATTTTTAGTAATCTTCCAACAAGAAACCAGTTTTTATTCTCCCATTACTTCTTGGGTCTGCCACGTGAGAACCACTTATATAACTCAAGTAAGAAAACAACTATTTGATATTTTTAACTGTTGCATTAAATACAATAGTACTGTAATTATTGCTTAGTTAGTGGCAAAATTTACTAGAAGAGTTTATTTACTGAGCCTATAAATTTCACCATTGTTTTTCTCCACTAGAAACCCCCAGCCCCATGACTTACTTTCCTGTGAAGGGAGAGTATTTTTTTCTTCAGTATCGGTTTTCTTCAGTTTTGACCTGTCAAACTTCTCCACTTCAGACAAGTCTGGCTTCTCACTCATCTTGACTAAAAGAAAGACTGAAAAAAAAGCTTAACTTAAAATCGGCAGAACTATGGTCATACTAAGGTATCACAGCCAAAATTTCTCATATTTAATATCAATGCATATTTTACCTGCTGATTTTCAACAAGAAAACAGCACACATCTTTGAAAAGTCATGTTTTTATTAGAATACTTTGAATTACACATCACTGCCCCATTTCTGATAGGCAGGAAAAGCCCGAATCAGGATGCACTAGAAATCAAGATGCTCTAAAATCCAGTCAATATGTCTGACTCTTTTACAATCATAGCTGAGGTCAAATGGAGTTGACAGAAGCACAAGAAAAGATAGAGATAGATTTAGCCAGCTAATGATTTGTCACAAGAGATAGCATTTATTTGAGCAAATTCACATTGCATTCAATTAATTTGGGGCATTTTTCCTGGGGAGTAGGAAGCAGCACACAAAAAAGGGTGGCATAAGTTGTACTAGTTTCTTTCCATTTTACCTGCCCAAAGACAGATTCAGGAGCCACAGTAAGAGAGGGAGGGGATTTAATCCAGTCATAACTACTTACATGTCCTTATGACACCGGTTTGTAAATGCTCTAAGACACAGCTAATTAGGATCAGACCAAGGACTTCAGCAGAATGGGATAGACCAAATAGAGCTGATTTTTATTTCATCATGTTTTCTCTGCAAAAGGAGAGGTTAGGAGATGGGGTGCCCTGTGACCATTCTGGATTTATCGGAGCAGAGACAACAGAAGACCCCAGAGACCGGAAAACAGAGCTGTCCAGCTCGTGCCTGGTCCCACCCTGGTAGGGGTAAGACAGGTCTAGTGCCCAGAGTAGAATGGAGAGGCCCCCAAGCAGCCAGAAGTCCCGAGTGTGCCTCCCTCCCGTCGAGGTCACCCTAAGACCCTCCTCTGACGAGGGATCAGATGCCAATCTCCAAGGTAGGGAAACAGGGACTAACAGATCATAAAAGGCTGGGCGCGTGGGTCTGTTTGTCAGGAGCGGTTTGCTTACATTTTAAAATAACCTTCATCATCTTTGTCGGGCGCGCAGCCCACCTTTTGGCCACAAAGGGGGGACGCGAAGGGCCTGCCCCAGAGGGCCCATTCCGGGCAGCACCGAAAGTCCTGGTCCTCTCAGCCTCGGGCTTGCAGTCACAGCGGACCGGCCGCTCTGAGGGGCCGCCCCCTCGGGCCTCCCAAGGACCCACCCGGGGAGGACCCGGCAACGCGCAGAAGGCGGCGCCGCAGAAGACAAAGGCGCGGACTCTCTAGGAGGCGCAGTTACAAAACGCCAGTCCCGACCCGGCCCCACCGGTTCCCGAGAGGCCGGCCCCCTCCGCCCCGCAGCCGCTGCGCCCTCCTGTCCCCATAGTCTTCTGGTTCCGCCGGGACCGCAGGTCCTCACCTGATGGCCTGAAGACGGGTGAAAGGCCGACGGCTGGACCGACGCCGCTCCACACACAGGACGACGTTAGCCTTCCCGCGCGGAACCCTGCAGTTGTAGTCGCGGAGCAGTCTCCGCCCCCAGGCCCCGCCCCAGACCCCCCTAGCCATCTCTGATTGGATGAGGGAATCCCAGGCCCGCCTCTTCGCCCCTCCCCCCTCCCGCTTTCGTCTTGTAGGCTTGAGCCCGCTGTCTCCCCTCTACTCAGGACCTCTGCCCTGCAAGTGTCTTGATGACTTCATACCGGAGCCGCCTCCCCAGACCCTGTCCAAGCCCTCTCTGATTCTCCGAGGGATCGCCTGCCTGCCTCCCCGGTTTCTCCCACTGTTTTCGTGCTGAGGATCCACTTCCCTCCTTCCCAAGTTTACTCACTCCTCCAAGATAGTTGGGGCCTCGATGTAAGCAAACACTTCTTTCTTGCCCAGTTAGCTTCCAACGTCTGGAACTGGCTTTTTATAGCCATAGAGCCTAAGTACACTGGGGTAACCAAACAATGGTTTGCAAGCAATGCTCAGTGGCATCTGTTCTAATCCTTGGCCAGGTCATGGAGGAGGGAAGCTCACTGAGAGGGTGGGCAGTTCAGAGTCATTCACCCCCACAGCTGAACAGTTCTGTCACAGTGGTGCTCTCCTATGTAAAAGTCACATTTTCGACTTTCTCAGCCACTGAACATGGTAGTAGTCAGTAGGGTAATCACAGGAGGATCTACTGAGGCTCTTCATCTCTATCTCCCCAATCCCTAGCACTTTGCTTGGCCCACAGGAGACTAGGTAAGTACCTGTCTATAAATTGAGGTAATACATCCATGATAGAGCAGAAATTTTGGACAGCAGCACCACCCAGTGTCCATGTTGGGGGAGAAAAGTGAGGATCCAGTAGTTACTTGAAAGGACCAAATGTTCGAGGTCACTTTCTGGATACTCACCCAGAACCTTAAAGCATTAAGGTAAGATGGAGATAAGACTGTCTTTAGCTTGTATCCCATATTTGCCATATGGCTCATGTATGGTGGTAAAGATACTCTACATAGATCAGCACCCATTCTCTCCACAAGGATTTCTCAAGCCCTCCCCACCTCTCTCCATTCATTCCCTTTTCTATGTCCTTGTAGCACTTCATGTTAATTTGAGAATTTTGTGTTTGTTGGAGAAATTGTTAAAGCAGAAAGCCACCCTCATTCAACAAATAATATTTATTGAGTACCTACAATGTCCCAGGCACTAAATACAATAAACACCAATGTTTCCTGATCAGAGTTGAATGTTTTTAACATTTGGGTTTATTTACTGTCTTTTTTTTTTAAAGAATAAAAATAGTACAGAAAAACTGAAGTTCCCTTGACCCTTGCCCTGTGTCCATTTACTGCCACTTCTCCAGAGGTAGTCCAATCTTGAATGTGAAGTATAGTTTCTAGACTATTTTTCTATCTTTACAGATTTACACAATCTCTGTTTCCAAGAATGACATGGTATATTGTATGAACCAGTGCTCCAGGTATAAGACTGAATTTCCACATTACTTGGGGTCAAGAGGAAGTTCCAGACACCCACCCACCCCACCACAGCCCAGAATTCAAAATATGCCCTCAATCTATCTGCCTTGAATCCATCAGAACTCATCTAATAACTATTTTTATCCTCATTTACTCCAGTTACCACAAGAACCCCGAGATCCCCCATGATACCCCTCAACTCCCTCATTTTAACCTCCATAAGGCTGTGACCACATCCCCTCTCTAGTTTACTTCTCACACCTCTTTCCTATTCCTAAAACATAATGCACCCTCAGTAATTCCCCTATATCCTCAACCTCTTCTCTAAATGTGTCCTTTATTGTCTTCCACTAACAGACACTAGGCTCTCCCCCTGAGGACTCTGTGTCCCCTGAAGCCCACTCGAGAGGAGCATATGATTTTTCTCTCCCACCACCATTGTACCACAGAACCTGAAGGCTGAATAAATGTCTTTCTTGCTTCTTATTGCTGCCTTAGGCAATTCCTCTCCCACATCCTTGAAAACTGCCAGCTTTTGGCAGCTTGTCACCAACTAGCCTTTATTGTTGGCATCCACCAAACTTCAGTTTCCCATCTCTCCTTATTTCTTGAAGATTTTAGCTCCTGGAACATGGTCACTCTCAATGAAGTAGTACTGTCTTAATTCCTGGTGAGCTCAAGAACAACCGTTCTGACACACTGACTCCCTTGGTTCCTTGAACATTTCTCCTTCATGACATTGTCTTTGACCCCATCTCAGCTACTCACTCACATGGCCATATCCTAGGCCCTGTCATAGCAATTTTAGCAACTCCTCCATAATCTCAATTTCAAACATCCCTCTTTCTATCACCTCCTCTCTTTTCAGCTCACTCAGAACCCCACCTTCTTTCAAACTTACCAAAATCTCCAACCCATAGGTCTTACCAGATTTCATCATCTCTTGCTCCCTCATTGTTTTATCTCCCCTCCTTCCCCAGCTCAAAAGTTATGTTCAGTCTTCATTAACACTTGTTTACATATACCCTGTACTCTACTGCCCCTCTCTCACTTTGTATTGTTTCCCTGGCAAAATCATAACCCTGACTAAACCCAAATACACCTCAAGGAGCTTGAACCCACACAGCTAAACCTGGCTGGAGGAAAATGTATAACCACATGACTAACTTGAACTTGACTAACATGAACTTCAATCTGGCCCTTAATGCTGCTAGTCAATTTACTCAGTAGGCCTCCTCTCCCTTAACTTTCCAAATGTTCTAAGTTATGATTTCATACCTTCTCTCTCCTCAAACTCCCAACACCACCTCCCCATCCCAACTTTTCTGTTACTTTCTATTTTACCAGAAAATTGTAGCTATCAAAAGAGAAATTTCACTGACTTCTACCACCAGGAACATCACTTCACCTACCCACACCTGCATCTATATACATAGCCTTCTTGTTGATAACTTTATTAGAGTTCTCCAGAGAAACAGAACCAATAGGATAGATAGATGATAGATAGATAGATAGATAGATAGATAGATGATAGATAGATAGATAGATAGATAGATAGATAGATAGATAGATAGATAGATGATGATAGATAGATAGATAGATAGATATGTAAGGGATTTATTATAAGGGATTGATTTATATGGTTGGAAGGCTGAGAAGTTCCACAGTCTACTAAATGCAAGATGGAGGCCCAGGAAAGCCAGTGATGAACTTTAAGGCCTGAAAGCCCAAGAACCCAGGGCCAGGGGGTGGCTGTGGAAGGTGGGGGGCAGGCAATGGTATAAATCCCAGTCCAAGTCCAAAGGCCCGAGAACCAGGAGTACCAATGCCAAAGGCAGGAGAAGAAGAATGTCTTAAGCAGAGAGAATAAATTTGACCTTTCTCTGCACTTTTTTTTTCTATTTGAGCCCTCAACAGATTGGATGAAACCCACTCACATTGGTGAGGGCAATTATTTTTACTCAGTCTACTGATTAAAATGCTAATGTCTCCTGAAAACACCCTTGCAGACACACCCAGAAATAATATTTTATCAGTTATCTGGGCATCCCTAAGACCAGTCAAGTTGACACATAAAATTAACCATCACAGAAATTGTCTTATATAAATTAGCCAAAAAATCTTTAATATGAGTGAAATAGAAAAGGATATGCTTGAAAGGATGCCAAAAAATGTCAAAGAATTTTAAAATGTGCTAGTATATATAGAATGCTGTTAAATTTTAAACGCTTTTTAGAAATAAGAAAATAAAACAGTTGTGTCCTAAAATTGACTAAAGACATTTTTGGATTATTTGGGTTGTCAAAATATAAAAAGAAAACTAAAAAAGATGTTTTAAAATCACAGGAGGAATTAAACTAATCTACCATAAATAAAATAAATTTTGGTAAAGTGGATTTTAGATAACTATATCATTAAATTAATAAGGAAATAAGTCAATATATGGCACGAAGTAAGTCAAATATTTAAAAGACTGGAGAGGGAATATCATTTCAAAAAAACTGTAAAGATCTGTAGTACATATTATCCTATGAAGTGTTAAGCCAAGGACTTGTGTAAGTCAGGGTTCTCCGGAGAAACAGAACAGTAGGATATATTTCTTTCAAAGAATTTTATTTATTTACATTTATGTCAAGGAATTGGCTTATGCAACTGGGGGACTGGCAAGTCTGAAGTCCACAGGCCAGCAGGCTCATGCAGGAATTAATGCTTCAGTCTTGCAACAGAATTTCTTCTTCCTCTGGGAAACCTGTGTTTTTGCCCTTAAGAACTTTAGAGAAAAAAAAAAAGTGGGGCACCTGGGTGGTTCAGTTAGCTGAGCGGTCCTACTTGGTTTTGGCTCAGATCCACCTCGGGGTCGTGGGATTGAGCCCCGCGTTTAGCAACCCACCCTTCCCGCTGCTGAGCCCCCTGTTGGGCTCCGTGTTCAGCCAGGAGTCTGCTTCCTTGGGATTCTCTCTCTCCCTCTGCCCCTATCCTTCCCACACACATATTCATGTGCTGTCTCTCTCTCTCTCTCTCTCTCTCTCTCTCAAAATAAATAGATGAATCTTTTAAAAAAGAAATAACTTTTAGTAGATTGGATGAGGCCCACCCACACTGTTGAGAATAATCTTTATTTAAAGTCAACTGATTTCAGATGTTAACCAAATATTCAAATACCTCAGCCAATGTCTAGATGGATGTTTAATAAATAACCGAGTACTATAGCTTAGCCCAGTTGACACATCACAGTAACTAAAATGCCTTCATCAAGAACCTTCTCTGGAAGACCAACTAAATTCCTTTTGAAACTTTTATTCTAACAATCTTAGTCTGCTCTAATGATTTTCAATATACAGATTGCCACACACCATTCTTTCAGTTCAATAAAAATTTATTGAGGTACTACTGGAGTGTCTGTCCCCAAGAAGCTCTATAAATTTGAGGTTTTGCAGGCAATAAGTTTGATCTATCATTACCACTTATTACCTCTAAGCAAATGTGTCAGCATTCAAAGGATGCATCTGAATAGACTACTGAAAAAGTTTCACCAATAAGATTGATAGGTTGCGGGGCGCCTGGGTGGCTCAGTTGGTTAAG